GGAGGAGGAGGAGGACCTGTCCTTGGATGAAGCCCCCACCCCACTGACGGAGTTCTTGGCCCTCAAGCGCGAGGCAGCTGCTGCCGAGAGGGAGATGCTGTGTGGAAAGGTTGCCCCCGGTTCTCCTGGCTTAGGGTGGGGGGGAGTAGCGGGGCCTGAGTTCAAATGCCCCTTGGCCCAGAGGAGGAAATGCCCCCCCCCGGTCCAGCCGTGCCTCCTTCTTGCTGAAGGAGAAGCAAAAAAAGAGGGTCCCTGGGGTGCCGGTCTTGCAAATGTCCTGGGGAGGGGGACATTTCACCTGGGGCCTTCAGCAATAGCGGGGGGGGGGGCTATAAGAGCCGGACTTTGCCTTCCTTTACTGCTGCATTCACACAACCTTAATGCAGAGGCAAGGGTTCTAGTCCTGCCTTAGGCACAAAAGCCAGCTGGGTGACTTTGGGACAATCGCCAGGAGACAGGGAATTCTAGTCTGGCTTTAAGTACAACAGCCAGCTGGGTGACTTTGGGACAATTGCCAGGAGACTGGGAATTCTAGTTAAGCCTTAAATACAATAGCCAGCTGGGTGACTTTGAGCCAGTCACCAGGAGACTGGGAATTCTAGTCTGGCCTTAAGTACAATAGCCAGCTGGGTGACTTTGGGCCAATCACCAGGAGATGGGGAATTCTAGTTCTGCCTTAGGCATGAAAGCCAGCTGGGTGACTTTGGGACAATCACCAGGAGACACGGAATTCTAGTCTGGCTTTAAGTACAACAGCCAGCTGGGTGACTTTGGGCCAATTGCCAGGAGACTGGGAATTCTAGTTAAGCCTTAAGTACAATTGCCAGCTGGGTGACTTTGGGACAATTGCCAGGAGACTGGGAATTCTAGTCTGCCTTAAGTACAATAGCCAGCTGGGTGACTTTGAGCCAGTCACCAGGAGATGGGGAATTCTAGTCCTGCCTTAGGCATGAAAGCCAGCTGGGTGACTTTGGAACAATCGCCAGGAGACTGGGAATTCTAGTCTGGCTTTAAGTACAACAGCCAGCTGGGTGACTTTGGGACAATCGCCAGGAGATGGGGAATTCTAGTCCTGCCTTAGGCATGAAAGCCGGCTGGGAGACTAGGGAGAACTAGCCTGCCGTTGTTCACCCTGTGGCTAACCTTGCTCTCCCCTCTTCCCACCTGCCCACGGGACCCCCATCCCCCCCTCTCCCCACGCAGCCCCCGGAGTCCCCCCTGGTGCAAATGATGCTGCAGCTGTTCTCCTTCCTGGAGCGCTACACCCAGTTGCAGCAGCTGCAGGAGAAGGCTGGCGAGTATCGTTCGCGCCTGCACTGGGAGGAGAGCCGTTGGCGCCGGCAGAAGCGGGCTCTGAAGAGGGCCTGCCAGCAGCGGGTGACGGACAAGCTCGGCGTGATCCAGAGCCTGGAAGCCATCATCCTGGAGCAGCAGGGCCTCCTGGAGAAGATGCAAGCAGGTGAGGTACCCCTTGATTAGGATCCATTCGAAAAGCCAACACAATCCTTGGTTCCATTAACAGAGGGAGAGAATCAAGATCAGGTGAAGTGTTAATACCACTTTACAAAGCCTTGGTAAGGCCACACTTGGAATACGGCATCCAGTTTTGGTCACCACGATGTAAAAAAGATGTTGAGACTCTAGAAAGAGGGCAGAGAAGAGCAACAAAGAGGATCAGGGGACTGGAGGCTAAAACATATAAGGAACGGTTGCAGGAATTGGGAATGTCTAGTTTAAGGAAGAGAAGGACGAGGAGGGACAGGATAGCAGTCTTCCAGTATCTCAGGGGCTGCCACAAAGAAGAGGGAGTCAAGCTATTTTCCAAAGCGCCTGAAGGCAGGAAAAGAAGCCACAACGGATGAAAACTTAATCAAGGAGAGAAGCAACCTGGAACTAAGGGGAAACTTCCTGACAGAACAATTAACCAACTTGCCTCCAGAAGTTGTGAATGCTGCAACACTGGAGCTTTTCAAGAAGAGACTGGATAGCCATTTGTCTGAAACGGTCTAGGGTTGGACTAGAAGGGGGTTGGACTAGATGACCTCCAAGGCCCCTTCCAATTCTGTGATTATCTTTCTCCGAGGTGCCTTCCAGAGGGGCTGGCCTTCCTCCAGATCCTGGGGAGGGGGAGACGGAGGGCCCTCGGTGGGGGGCATTGCGTGGTCCACACAAGACTTCCAGGCTAAGCTTTGGCCACCTAGGCAGGACCCCTCCCATTCCCAGGTCCCCCCTGCCATCCTTCTCCTCCCGCCAGGTTCGAAGCTGCCCTCCAGTGGCCAACTCTGCCCCGTGGCCCCCGGGGGCCTGCACCAGCTGGTGGAGTCCCTCAGCGCCCTCCAGGGGGAGAGGAGCCGCCTGGCCGAGGAGGTGACGGGTCTCCAGCAGCGGGTCGAAGAACGAGAGAGGGAGAAGCAGCAGCTGGCCAGAACCTTCCACCACCAGGTGAGACCCCCACCCTTCCTGTGGCTGCTGGATCAGAGCCCTGCAAACCCCCCCCCCCCCAGCCAAGTGCTGTCTATTGTGCTGGAGCAGAGGGTCAGACTAGATGATCTCCCAAGACCCCTCCCAAAGGGTTATTNCAGGAGACTGGGAATTCTAGTCTGCCTTAAGTACAATAGCCAGCTGGGTGACTTTGGGACAATCACCAGGAGACTGGGAATTCTAGTTAAGCTTTAAGTACAATTGCCAGCTGGGTGACTTTGGGACAATCGACAGGAGACTGGGAATTCTAGTCCTGCCTTAAGTACAATAGCCAGCTGGGTGACTTTGGGCCAGTCACCAGGAGATGGGGAATTCTAGTCCTGCCTTAGGCATGAAAGCCGGCTGGGATACTAGGGAGAACTAGCCTGCCGTTGTTCACCCTGTGGCTAACCTTGCTCTCCCCTCTTCCCACCTGCCCACGGGACCCCCATCCCCCCCTCTCCCCACGCAGCCCCCGGAGTCGCCCCTGGTGCAAATGATGCTGCAGCTGTTCTCCTTCCTGGAGCGCTACACCCAGTTGCAGCAGCTGCAGGAGAAGGCTGGCGAGTATCGTTCGCGCCTGCACTGGGAGGAGAGCCGTTGGCGCCGGCAGAAGCGGGCTCTGAAGAGGGCCTGCCAGCAGCGGGTGACGGACAAGCTCGGCGTGATCCAGAGCCTGGAAGCCATCATCCTGGAGCAGCAGGGCCTCCTGGAGAAGATGCAAGCAGGTGAGGTACCCCTTGATTAGGATCCATTCGAAAAGCCAACACTATCCTTGGTTCCATTAACAGAGGGATAGACTCAAGATCACGTGAAGTGTTAATACCACTTTACAAGGCCTTGGTAAGGCCACACTTGGAATACTCCATCCAGTTTTGGTCACCACGATGTAAAAAAGAGGTTGAGACTCTAGAATGAGTACAGAGAAGAGCAGCAGAGATGATCAGGGGACTGGAGGCTAAAACATACAAGGAACGGTTGCTGGAATTGGGTCTGTCCAGTTTAATGAAGAGAAGGACGAGGGGGGACATGATAGCAGTCTTCCAGTATCTCAGGGGCTGCCCCAAAGAAGAGGGAGTCAAGCTGTTCTCCAAAGCGCCTGAAGGCAGGACGAGAAGCAACGGATGGAAACTGATCAAGGAGAGAAGCAACCTAGAACTAAGGAGAAACTTCCTGACAGTGTGAACAATTAACCAGTGGAACTCCTTGCCTCCAGAAGCGGTGAATGCTCCAACACTGGAAGTTTTTAAGAAGAGACTGGACAGCCATTTGTCTGAAACGGTCCTGCCTGAGCAGGGGGTTGGACTAGATGACCTCCAAGGTCCCTTCCAATTCTGTTATTATCTTTCTCCGAGGTGCCTTCCGGAGGGGCTGGCCTTCCTCCAGATCCTGGGGAGGGGGAGCTGGAGGGCCCTCAGTGGGGGGCATTGCGTGGTCCACACAAGACTTCCAGGCTAAGCTTTGGCCACCTAGGCAGGACCCCTCCCATTCCCACGTCCCCCCTGCCATCCTTCTCCTCCCGCCAGGTTCGAAGCTCCCCTCCAGTGGCCTGCTCTGCCCCGTGGCCCCCGGGGGCCTGCACCAGCTGGTGGAGTCCCTCAGCGCCCTCCAGGGGGAGAGGAGCCGCCTGGCCGAGGAGGTGATGGGTCTCCAGCAGCGGGTCGAAGAACGAGAGAGGGAGAAGCAGCAGCTGGCCAGAAGCTTCCACCACCAGGTGAGACCCCCACCCTTCCTGTGGCTGCTGGATCAGAGCCCTGCAAACCCCCCCCCCAGCCAAGTGCTGTCTATTGTGCTGGAGCAGAGGGTCAGACTAGATGATCTCCCAAGACCCCTCCCAAAGGGTTATTCCGTTACAGGTAACCCTTGACTTGCGGTCACAGCCGGGCCCAAAATTTAGGTTGCTAAGTGAGACAAGTGAGTTTTGCCCCATTTTACGACTTTTCCCGCCAGAGTCCTTAAGCGAATCGGTGCAATTGTTAGGTTAGTAACACCGTCGCTAAGTGAATCCGGCTTCCCCATTTCACTTTGCTGATCAGAGGATCGCAAAGGGGGAAATCACGTGATCCCGGGACACTGCCGCCGTCATAAGTACGGGTCAGTTTGCCAAGCGCCTGAATTCTTTCTTTTTTTTGTAATATTTTATTGGTTTTTCAATTTTACATTTGAGTATTCAAAAAGCAACGTGGTGGGGGGGGTTAATCAATAATTCAATAACAAAGTCTTTAGTACAAATCTTTGGTTACATCACCAAATATTTCTTCTCTTTTCCCCTTAACGTTTACTATCTCTTTTTCAAGCTGGTACGTTTCTGATTGTCTCAGCTCAATGAAAACATCATTATTACATTGATCGATACATTTTTAGCTTATACATATATTAATTACATATCATAAAACACTCCTGTTATTAATTTTTACCTAATTTTTAGTTTCTCATCAATATTCCAATTAACCTTTGCTATTCATAATTTTCAAGCTTTGGGTAACCAAAGGAGAGAAGCAACCTAGAACTAAGGAGAAACTTCCTGACAGTGAGAACAATTAACCAGTGGAACCACCTGCCTCCAGAAGCGGTGAATGCTCCAACACTGGAAGTTTTTAAGGAGAGACTGGACAGCCATTTGTCTGAAATGGTGTAGGGTTTCCTGCCTGAGCTGGGGGTTGGAATAAATGACCTCCAAGGTCCCTTCCAACTTTATTATTACTACTACTACTACTACTACTACTACTACTACTACTGCTACTACTACTGTTGTTGTTGTTGTTGTTATTATTATTATTATTATTATTATTATTAAAGTTTCCCTTATCTCATTTCATAACAAACTATAATATCCAAAATACACAATTTTACCTAATTAAATGTCATCTTGTTCTATTTCCTAAAAATTTTCTATTTCCCACCATAATAAATCATCTACTTAATAATAGATTATCCCCTTAGATAGATCAATATACAGGCAATGTATGTTGCTTGTATATTGCGCCCGAATTCTGATCCCGCGAGGGTGCTGCGACGGTCGTCAATGTGAAAAAAAACAGTCCTGTGTCCCTTTTTTCAGTGCCGTTGTAACTTTGAACAGTCACTAAATGAACTGTTGTAAAGTGAGGACCGTCTGTATTTGATCATCCCTTCTGTCGGGGAAGATCTTTCGAGGGCCGCTTGGGGGTTGCATGGAGAAGTGGGGGGCTGGGGGCGCTTGGGTGGCCCCAAACCAGGCACCCAAAGAATTTGAGGCGGGGGGCTTGAATGGGGGTGACTGGCCGGGGGCTTCTTTCCTGGCAGATCCGAGGCCTGAAGCAGCAGATCCAAACACAGGAGGAGGAACGGGAGCAGATCCGTCTGGGCATGGTGAGCAACGTGCCCCTCGCTACAGGCAGGGAGGCCAATGGGAAACGGGGACCATGGGGGTGGGGTGGGGAGGGTCCCAGCAGGTGCTGGAATGGGGGAGAAAATGTGGGGTTTCTTCCCCAAGACAAACAGGCCGAGGCTCATGAAGGGAACTGGTGAATCGTGAACTCATGATGAAGGAGAGAAGCAACCTGGAATTAAGGAGAAATTTCCTAAGAGTGAGGACAATCAACCAGTGGAACAGCTGGCCACCAGAAGTTGTGGGTGCTCCATCGCTGGAGGCTTTTAAGAAGAGACTGGACAGCCATTTGTCTGGAATGGTCTAGAGCAGGGGTAGGCCACCTTGGCTCTTTTATGACTCGTGGACTTCAACTCCCAGAATTCCTGAGCCAGCCATGCTGAGGGGAAAGGGAGAGGTTTCCAAGCTGAGCCAGGCTGGCTCAGGAATTCTGGGAGTTGAAGTCCACGAGTCATAAAGTGGCCTAGGCCTAGACCAGGGGTAGGCAACCTGGGCTCTTTTATTACTCATGGACTTCAACTCCCAGAATTCCTGAGCCAGCACGCTGAGGGGGAAGGGAGAGGTTTCCAAGCTGAGCCATGCTGGCTCAGGAATTCTGGGAGTTGAAGTCCACGAGTCATAAAAGAGCCAAGGTTGCCTACCCCTGCTCTAAAGTCTGCTGCTTGAGCAGGGGGTTGGACTAGACGACCTTCAGGGTCCCTTCCAACGTTGTGGGTACTCCATCATTGGAGGTTTTTAAGAAAAGACTGGACAGCCACCTATCAGTGCTGGAGCAGTGGGTTGGACTAGAATGAGTCCCCAACTCCCCATCCACGGACCAGCACCGGTCCACAGCCTGCCAGCAACCGGGTCACGGAAACAAACGCCTCTTCCGTGGGATGCAGGCGATGGGTGAAACCAGGCCCCCTCCGGTCCGCGAAAAAACTTTCTCCATGGAACCGGTCCCTGGTGCCCAACAGGTTGGGGGCCGCTGGACTAGATGACCTCCAAGGTCCCTTCCGGCACTCTCCTTGATTGAACGTCTCTTTGGCCCCCAGGGTGTGACGGACTCGGAGAAGCGGATCCACAACCTGACGATGGAGAACGAAGGCCTGAAGCAGAGTCTGCAGCTCTCCCAGGGGCTCCTTCAGCAGGCGGCTGCCCTCTCTGCCCAGCCCTCCACTGGGATGACCATGGTGAGTCCCTCCCCTGCCCCCTGGTAAGGGCCAGCCCAGGGGCCCCAATCCGGCCTGGGGGCCCATAACCTCTTAAGGGTGGGCTTAAATTCACATTCATCTATCTGAGACAGTATAGATGTTCCTACTTGAGCAGGGGGCTGGACTAGAAGACCTCAAAGGTCCCTTCCAGCTCTATTCTATTCTATTCTATTCTATTCTATTCTATTCTATTCTATTCTATTCTATCCATTTTCTATTCTATTCTATTATTATTCTATTCTATTCTATATTCTATTCTATATTCTATTCTATTCTATTCTATTATTATTCTATTCTATTCTATTCTATTCTATTCTATTCTATATTCTATTCTATATTCTATTCTATTCTATTATTCTATTCTATTCTATTCTATATTCTATTCTATATTCTATTCTATTCTATTCTACTCTATTCTATTATTATTCTATTCTATTCTATATTCTATTCTATATTCTATTCTATTCTATTCTACTCTATTCTATTATTATTCTATTCTATTCTATTCTATTCTATTCTATTCTATTCTATTCAAATGGGGCTGGGGGAAGGTCAGGTCATCTCTGTGGAAAAGCGTCTTCGGAAGGGCGGAAATTCCCAGTCCTGCCCCAGTGAGTTGCGAGGGCAGCAGTACCACAGTGCATGGTGCCTCTGAGCATGTGAAGAGACACAGACACACTCTGCTCTGCCATCAGACAAAGCGTTGAGCTGATTTGGCCGGGAAAGGGGGCACCGGAGTTCAAAGGGGCTGGGGACTCCTCTGGGATGGGGGTCACCACGTCTTGGAATCTGCTCCTCCCCCTCCCCAAATTCCGCATGCAGCAGCATATAGGTGCGTGTAGGCGTGAGTTGATTCTTGCTGCTTGCCATGTGCTTTTTCACACTTTTTGCCCCATGCTGAGCAAATAAAAACTCTCGGCGCTGCTTGCAGGAGAACGAGGCTCTTCGCAGCCAGGTCCTGCAGCTGGAGGCCAGCCTGCAGCAGAAGGTGGAGGAGCTGATGTACCTGGAGGAGCGCCTGGACCGGCTGCAGGGCCTCCGGGAGGGAGAGGTGCGTCAGCTGGAGAAGCAGCTGTGTGGGCTTCAGCTCCCCAGGGAGGGTCTAAAGAGCCCCCCTCCTGCGGTCCAGGTGAGTGTGGCCGGGGGCCCTTCGTGGCCCTAGATGTGAGCCCCCTTCTCTGCATGGAAATATGTGGGAGGGGGGGCTGGTGGCAGCAGGCTCTACCTCCACAAAGTGCTCTTGGCCTAGGTGGAGACCGGCTCTGGGCCCGTGGTCTACTGTCAGATCTTCAGCCCCTGACGTGTTTTATTTGCCTCTTCAACTTTCTCTTGGATGGATGGATGATAGATCGATCGATCGAT